TGCCTCAGTATTTTTGGAAATGAGACTGAGTGTCAAGCAAGGAGCCAGCAGCCACAAACTGCTGAATTTCCCAGAACCGCATGTGAAGGGGATGTCACACTTTTCCATTCTGAAGTTCAGCCTTTTCTCTGAGTACATCAGCAGATTTCACCACTTCTGAAACTGTGCTCTCCTGTGAGTTATTTATAACCTCCTGCTGCTTTCCATAGGTCGAATTTCACTCACTTTCATTCTCTGCTGTGGATTGTTCTATCCCAGTGATGTACTGCTGCTTCACATGTTCACCTTTCAACAGCCTGTTTTCTTCCAGCTCCAAGACATACTAGTCTCAAAGGAGACCATTCAGAGAACTGGGAAGGAAGTATTTATCTTTGGCAGCAGCAACTTAAAGACATATGTGATATTCAGTGTATAGAATCATAGAGACTCAGCACATACTCCTAAAACATCCCTGCAAAGCATTCATTTTTAAAGTACCTCTAGGAGATGCACAGATGCACAGTGCTGCCGTTCAAAATTAACACTTTACATTTTGTGTAACAAAATTTAGATTTTTTAATGAAACTGCCTTTAAGAGCTGAGCTCAAACATAAAAATTATCAAAGGGCTAAATGTAGAATGAGATGAAATTATTCAGCATTTATCTGTGATCATTACCAAAAGAACCTTTCAATTTTAAGTAAAGGGTGGGTAGCTGCAGTCTCCCAGGTTGCTCTCGATCTGCCACAGCTCCTTTTGACCAGTTAGGAGTTTAATCTATAAAGTTATCCTTCAGGCATAGTGGGTTGGTGGCTTGGCAACAACACTCTGCATGTCTAACACTACTGATTTACTATTGCTGCAGAAGAGCACAGAACAACACATAAGGACATTTTCACTTTAATCATCATCTAATTCTGTCTGCCTGAGTACCAGAAAAGAAGATGCCCTTTCCTTTGCAGACTGAAGCAAATACTACCTGTAGGCCTTTTTTATTCAGAGACTCTCCTGTCTGGAAAAGTAGGGCTGCGAGGCTTTAAGTTCAGCTCTACTTTCCAACATTCCTACACGTTAGGACTGTTTACATTCAGTACATGCGACTGTTTATCATTAGTCTACTATTGGTGGTGTTGTAATCTCTTAAAGCCCAAGGAGACATGCCAAGAAGTATAACAACCTCATATTCTGATTTTCTTGGATGGCTTATCTCTAACATGGCTTTTACCCAGATTTTTCTAAACTTTTAACTTCTCAGAAGGATCATGTCTCATGTCAGAAAGATTAAGGCTGGTGTCAAGCTCAGGACAGAGCACAGTAATCTGAAATATTCATTACAGGGCAGAATTTCTGATTGCAGCAGCTACAAATAACCTATGGGAAACAGTAATAGGAATTGTTTATTCAGGAGTACATCCTGTTGCTCTGCAGTTAATCCAGGTGCAGAGCTCTATTTTTAATAGAAAGTTAATTATTGTGGATTTCTTGTCAACAGCTAAGCCAAGCCAATAAGATCTGAGCATATGTTTTGTAAACAAGTAAATTAGGACTTGCACCTCTGACTGAAAAGGAAAAAAAAAAACCAAAGGAAGCTGTGTAAATATCGACAGGCTATAAGCTTACATTGTTATCACTGACCACATTTGACTGAAATAAACATGGGAAGCCCTGTCTGTTACCAGATCTGCACGTACTGCTTTGCCAAATCTACCTTTGCAGTATAGATTGCCCCAGTACCATCCTAAGATGTGTTCTTACTTCCTGACTCTTCTATTGTCAGGGTTAGGTTTTTTTGTGTAAGGTTTTTGACTGGTTCTGTGTTTTGTTTTTTTGTTTGTTTTGTCAAGACACCGAGATCAAAATAATGCCTATGCTGTGAAAGTACTTCTAGCAATAATGTTCACCTGTAATGCGCTTTGAGACTTCTGAGTGAAGAAAAATCACATTTTGATATAGCACTGATTTTTCTCTCAAAGTAGTCAGATACATCCTATGTTATGTCTGCAACTATCAGCATTCACAGATAGGGCTCTGAGTCAAATACTTATTACAAATCTAAAAGTTCAGGGTCTTTCTTTGTTTTAATCAAGTCATTCACACACAAAATGTTTGAAACTGTCAGTTCCTTAGACAGTATAAGTAGCATTCATGTGATGGGCTTACATGCATTTTACTCTATCTCAGTATTGTTGCATGTTGCATTCATCTGTCATCTGAGCTGTGTAGGTCTCTATTATTTCCTGAATGGACACAGAAACTTCAAGCAATAGTATACATGCATGATGAACTGCAAAGTGTGTAATTGTTACCATTAACATCAGTTCTAGGGATTTTAAGGTGGTATTTAAGGTATTCCTGAGGTATTCCTTAAAGTATTTATTATTATCCTTAAGGTATTTATATTTAAGGTATTCCTGAGGATATCCAGTATTCATCTGAAAATATGCAAATATGAATCACCATGACTTAGCACATCTTATGGATGTGCAGCTGAATCCCAATGAATGGCAGTAGGTGACAAGCCCTATAAGCCTATATAATTTCATAATTATTAATGTTCTGAAAAGTAGACTATTGTTAAGTACTAAAATAAGGTATTTCAGTGCAGCTATCCATTAAAACCTCAGATCATTAAAACACCCATGTAAAATCAGCAAGATGCAGGTTAGAAGCAGCACAGCAAAAATATTGGCACTTGCAATGAAAGAAATGCCAGAAATTAATCACCCTCCAAGGGAGCTGTGGGGTAGTAAGTGGACTACAGCAGGGCTTTACACAGTGTGCTTGTTTTGACTGCAGCTTATAGATAGTGGGGGCAGTTGTCTTACTGGAATAATGCAGAGGTCAGGGAAATGCAATTGACTGAACAACACAATACCAGTTTGCTTGTGAGCAAAACAAGTAACAAACTGTCGTCAAATTAACACTGAAAGAAATATTGTGGTACTCTGAATACATTAAATAAGTAAGATTAGTTGAGGACCTATGTTTACATAAGGCTTATTGCCATAATACTGTTCTGTTGAGTGGGAACCTCAAAGAGCCTGGGAAGTATAAGGGAATACTTCAGTTCCCCCAAAAAAACGAAAACAAAAAGTAAACATTTTACATTCCAAAATGCACTCATTTCATTGGTGATATCATTCATATGAGTAACAGAAGGGAAGGACAGGAGTATCTCCCTCAGTTTGCAGACATAAGGATAGGTTGGATCCACAAGGATCTCACACTGAAAGTGGAGTTTTATCAGCCATTTCCTGTTGCAGCAGGATGTTTCTTCACCAAAATGCATCTGAGTTTGAGTATGAGTGGGAGCTGATGAATTAGCTGTGTTGAGATCAGCATTAACACGAAAAAGCAGGGAGAAAATGATAACATTAAGCCATAAGTTACAATCTAGCTACAAAATCTAGGAAATACTGGTGGATAAACTGATCCTAGATAAAGCAATAATGTGATAGTAGTCACAGCAGCCCAATTACTGCAGCCTAGCCCATAAGTAAACTGGAAGGGAAAAGGAAGAACTGCTGGCAGAAGGACAGCAGCCATTATCAGCGAGTTGATGCGTACTCCCGTAAAAATGGCAGGTATTACATCAAGGAGCCAACTCCCAGCTACTGCTGGTGGTGTATGATCAAAAGGTTAGCAGTTATAATAATGACAGTAAAACAAAACCAATCATCTGAAGTGGTATTTACTTCATAAATGCAAACCTACTTTTTTCACCCCAAAGCACCAACAAATAGAATGGGCTCTGTGGAAAACTTAGGGCTTAATAACTGGTGTAGTGATAACATACAAAACAAAAGTAAAATCAGTAGCACTGTGAAAATAAGAATAAATATTAAAAAAGTAGAAACACTTTCTGTAACTGACAGGCAGCAGGCCCCTTCTCACAGCACAACATCCAAATCCTAAAGTGGAGAATCATCTAAATACATTTCCTTCAAAAAAACAGCTAAAATGTTAAAGAAGTAGAAGAAAACATCTTTGAGGAAGTGGGAGCAGATGCGCAGTTTTTCCATGACAAGTCAACCTATTGCAGTGATAGAAAAAATCCACATGACAATTCACATTCCTCTTCAGTTACTAGAAGTCAGTGGTCAGCAGCAATTTAGAAAGCACACGCTTGTACTGTCCTCTTGCTTTACTGCATTTTGCCCTTGAGGACCTGGAGGTTTATAGTAGATAAAAAGGAAAAACAGCACATGAACGCACATTTCACTGCAACAACAACAGTGATGAAGCCAGAGTAAGAACAAAGAAAAACTAACAGAAATTTAAAATGAGACCTGAAATTGTCAGTGTGAAGGATTCTAAAATACTATAACAAACTCGGGCTGTAAGAGTATGTGGTAAACAGTAGGTGATAATTTCCTTTTTGTTTGAGAGAAAGAGTGGAGGAAGTTAAAAGGAAATCATAATAGTCCAATATAGATGATATATTTTTTTCAGGAAAAAAAAAAGTATCACATAGTTCTCATAAAGAGAAAACCATATTTTTCCAGTAGGCTTTACATAAATATTCTACTGTAACTGTGTTTTGAGAGTGAATGTTTTTATATCCAGTGTTCTCAAACCTATCATATACTAAACCTATGATGCCTTTTAAAGTACAAGCATCTATTACACATCCTTATACACATGGGGCCAATACTCACATGAAGCAGAGAATTAATGTTAGCTCATCCAGATAATGCATTACTTTTCCAAAGAATGAAAAACAATTTGGGATTCACAAAAAAACCATTCATGTTTCAACCCTTAAAGGCTTTCTTTTCTCCGCTAAGAAATGTAATTTTACATAATGTACTTGCAAACAAAGAAATACAAGCAGAAAGAACTTTCAAAAACATCAAAAAATTCCCATCATTCAGAGCAAAGATCCTGTGTGTATGCCACTAATACAGATCTGTTTTCTTTCATATTTTCAGTTATGCATTACAAATATTAGCTGTCATTGATCAGTCTTCTGCTTAGAAAATGTAGATGTGTATACATATCCAGTACATAGGGTTGTGCCTTTCAGGAAATATATCATGCTTCTCCCCGGGCATTTTCCAGGTACAAAAATGCTTTATCAAAATTCATCTCTAATGTTGAAGTGTGGCTGATCTTCAGGCTTAAAGTCTAGATTGGGGCTGCCATCCTCATTCAGAATTCTTCGAGAAGTATAGCCAACAATTGGATATTTGGCTTTGTAAACATTATTGAAGATATCATCCAGTGACTTTAGTTCCTCTTCCGTGAGTCCTGTCTAAACGAATTAGGGTCAAAGAAATAAAAATGTAGGTATTAAAATTAATTTTTCTCTTCTTCTGATTACTGTGAGTCTGAAGGTCAGCTTTTGGGTTTATTTTGGAGGGCATGATTAACTAAATTGATGGACTAACCTGTAATTTCTTTCTTCTCATTCAGCCTTACAAAACTTTAACATATTCAGGTCAAACAAACTGTTAAGTCACCTTTCTTTTTTTTTTTTTTTAAGAAGTAAATCAGATGTACAGTGAGCAACAACACTTCCCTTCCAACCAAACTGTTCTATTCTCATACAAGCTAACTGAATGTTATCATTCACCATCTTTCTGAGCTTTTCACTTACACTGACTAGCAGCACACGAAGCCAAAGAATGAAATTTTGCAAGATGCAATGAAATTACTTGTCAGTTTCTTACTATGTCATGAGTAAGATCTGCTGGATCCAGAGACATCTTTGCAACTCCTCTTGTTGAATCTTTCCCAACCAAAGCATTGTATGGGGCTCCTTTTCCATAAAATTCTGTCAAACAACAATAACAAAACAAACATAAAACTGCACAAAGTAATGATCTGACAGTGTAAGGGCTTGTTTCAGCCTGTAATTTTCACCAGCCTATTTCACTTGCTAGTGAGTTGAAACTGTTACCTCAAGTCTAAGATTCTTCCTTCCAAAATTTTTTATTATCTCAGTCCTCAGAAAGCAGAGGACAGAATTTAACACAGCCACTGCATTCCCATGCTGCAGTCTCAAAATTTGAGGGAGCAGTGCTTTACATTCTCATAGACTGTTTGTAGACTCCAGAATTTGCAAGCCTTGTCTCACTTAGGATTTGAAGATTATCGGACACGTATGCCCAAGCAAGGCATATGAATAAGCTTAGGACAAGCACAGCAGCAAGCCATGAAGGCCTGTTACGGCATTAAGTTGAATGGCCAGGAACCTTTGGTGCCTTCAAACATTTTATAACCTCCTGTTTCCTTTTCTGCTTTCCACTGAAAGAAAAAAAACTCCGTGCAGTGTGATACAGGAGCATCCAAGTTAGCCTTGATCTGGCCAGTTCATGTGCCCAGAGTAGTAAGACAGCAAGGACATGGGGAGCCAGGCAGACGTCTCCAGCATTTCTGCCATCAGCCCGAGCTGCCTGCACTATGCTGGATTATCTGTGGGTGTGCAGTAACTGCAAACCAGAGTACATCCTAGAAACAACCTTAGTGTGGGAGGCACCAGCAGAGGAAAACTGACTTTTTTAAAAAACAGAAAACATATGTTCTTTTTGTTGCAATTGAACTGTGGGTTTTTAATAGTGTGGGGACATTTGAAAACAAATGACTGAACAATAGCACAAAAACAAAGGAGAAAGGAGAGGAAAACCCAACTTGCCTTTTCCAGAGGTGACATCAAACACTACCCCCTTCACTGCTAGGTAAATGGGCTGTCCTTCCTGAAAGAAAGAAGTTGGTATGTCCTCAGTTCTTAACAGTAGGCAAAATATAATTACTTTTACCTATGAAATCTGTAAGTGCTCAGCATGCTTAGGAGTGGATAAAATGCTTATTTGTCTGTTCTCAAGCAGCTTACAATCCAATGCACAGTAAATACACAGCCTGTAGTCAACAACCTGGTACAAATGGCATGTCTGTATGTGGGCAATGTAGTGCATGGTATTTTCATACCTGGCCATTCTGAAGGCTCTCAGATACCACCTACTCATGCATCCTTGTGTCAGCTACTGGCCACATGCAGCAGGAAGAGAAGAAACAACAATGAAAATGGTGTCAGGAACTACAAAGGAGGTAAAGAAAGGCTGTGCCCTCCTACCTCACAAGACGCTCCCTGCAAAAAAATCTTGGTGCCATCTGAAGACCGACAGCAACATTGCATCTCCCCGCCCTTCTGAATGCTTTAGGGTGTGTGAAGTGTATGGCTGCATTCCATAATGCAGTGCCTTTTTTTGGAGCTGACAGTGATGAAAACTGTTTACTTTGCAGAAATCTGTTTGTATGTATACAAACAAACCTGTTTTCTCCCTTGACATTTCTTACTTGTGCTTCACACTGTCTCTACATCTTGCTCTTAGGAATGCAGATGGATGTTGCCCCAGTTAAAAAGACGCAGGCAAACAGCATTCTTTATTTGCTTAAGAGAGTAAGGGATTAACACCCAAATGGGATCTGCTGCTGTCTGCCTGCATGAGGTGTGCAAGCTGCCGAGTTCCTTGGGAGGATGTTGAGAAGGTCCCGGGAAAGCTGGCCAGCTTGTCTGTCAAAAGAGAAGGCATCTCTCTGTATTGCAACTGATGCAGCAACTTCTCATCTGGAAGATTTGCCGACTCTCTGTCTGTCTCACAGGAAGCTAAAAACTCTGAAGTTACAATCACTTCGTTATTTTATCACCTCGGAGGGGAGAAAAAAATTGCCTAAAGGTGTGGTTTAACGAATCATTCTGAGAAAGTTTCTGTAACCTGAAGTCCAGTGACCTCGTTGGGCAGCAGTGCACGAAGCAATGCACGTCCGCCGGGCTCAGCGCGGAGCTTCGGCAGCTCCAGGCCGTGCAGCGGGACGGGCACCCGAACCCGGCTGCCTCGCGGCCCTTCAGCCGGGCAGCCCCCGCTCTCCGGCGCGGCCCTACCTGCTGCCCGTCGTATCTGGCCAGCTCGGGCTCGGTGAACAGCCGCACAGGCGCCTCGGCGGGCGGCGGAGCCTTGAAGCGCAGCTCCCGCTCGGCCGCCGTCAGCACCACTACCGCCATCAGCAGCGCGGCCCCTGACGGCCGTCCCGCCGCGCAGCCCGCCATGCCGCCAGCCCCGCCCCCGCGCGCCGGCCCGCGGGAGGAGCGCGGCGCCGCCTCTCCTCTCGCCGCCAACCGCAGCCCCGCGGCCGGCAGCGCGCCTCGCGCCGCACTACGCCTCCCAGCAGCCCCGCGGCGGGCCGTCCAGGCGCCTGCGCGGCCCGGCACGGGCAGGGCGGCGGGGTTCGGCCGTGCCGCCTCGCGCCGATGCCATGCTGAGGCCGGAGCCGTCTGCGTCTTACAAGGAGGTACGGCGCGGGGGGCGAGGCGGCGGGGAGGGCTGTCGCTTGTGGAGCGGAGGAGCCGGCTCTTTGGGCGCGGCGGCTCTGGCGGTGCGATTCCTTCCTTGCTCGTGCCCGGCGTTCCCGTCAGCCCATCTGCGGCAGAGCTACAGAAGGGTGCTGCTTTTCGCATCCTGCGGGGAAAGGCAGCACAGGTGCGTCGGTGCTCGTGTAGCGGCTGTGTGCTCCGTACGCCTGAGGCGGCGCGAGGGCTCCTGCGGCGGACCTGCGGCTGCTGGCCGCGCGGGGCTTCGCCCCAAGGAGTTGTGGTTCAGCTCGGCGCCGCTCGATCGGTTCCAGCTGTGTCTGTTCACGTCGGAGCAGAAGGCGTTAGAAGGTGATGAATAAGTTGTCCGGCGGCAGGCCTGCAGAGACAGGTTCTACTTTTGTTTATGAGGGTTTTATCGAGTAGGAAGGCCTCATCCTGTAATTATCAGGATGACGTAGTATCGTTAAGGTTGGAAAAGACCACTAAAATCGTTTAGTCCAATGCCAACCCACCCCCACCGTGCCCACTGACCACGTCCCTCAGTGCCACATCTCCATGTTCCCCGAACGCCTCCAGGGATGGTGACTCCACCACCTCCCTGGGCAGCCTGTGCCACTGCCTCACTGCTATTGCTGAGAAGAGATGTTTCCTAATATCCAACCTGAACCTCCCTTGATGTAACTTGAGGCCATTCCCTCTCATCCTATCACTGTTACCCAGGAGAAGAGGCTGGCCACCACTTGCTTTCAGGTGATTGTAGAGCATTGAGCTCTCCCCTGAGCCTCCAGATTGAACAATCCCAGCTCTCCCAGCAGCTCCCATAAGACTTGTGCTCCAGACCCCTCACAGCTTCATTACCCTTCTCTGGACACGCTCCAGGGCCTCATGGCACGTAACTCATGTAAAAGCTTGCATTCAGGGGAGTGCTTGAGACAGTCACTGATGTCACAGAGACACCTGAAAGCAGAGACCAAACTATGCACATTGCCCTGTGCGTCAGCCAGCACCACCCAGCCCTGCTCCACGTACCACGTCCCCAGCTCCATAGTGCCTGTCTGCTTTCCATCTCTCCTCTGGATAGTGAGCAGTGCACCTGCCTGAGCAAGGATGCTGGCATAGCTGGAGTTATCTTCTCTGCGTTTTTTTTTCCAGTGTGTGGGATGGGGAAGGAACTGCTGGGTCACGGGCAGGCTCCTGCTGTTGTTTCCCAGTCAGCTGCATGTGCTGAACACAGAGGATTGCTGAACAAAGCTCCATATCATGTCCTTCTTGCTCTCTATCATATCTCCATGTCCTCTTGTAAACTTAACAGTCCCATGAGTTGCGTTCATTGTACCTCTCAGTGAGAGGCTTCACCTCTCTATGAAAAATAGCAGAGGAAAAGCCAGCCTGTGGGAGTAAAAACACCACTGTGCCTGATAAATTAAATTCACTAACGTCACCTGCCACAATCTGGGGATTTTGTCCAAGTTTCTGGAAAAACTGGAATAAACTGAATGCAGTACTGCTGTGCTGGTTCTCTGCAGCTCTGTATGCAAGTTACCATGCTGGTTGGTCTGTGATGCGGGGCCACAAGCAGTGCTAGCTTCTAGCAGCCACAGTTGGGCTTACTTACCTCTGCTTCTTCTCAACACAGGTGTTTGGGATTTGCAGTGAAATTAGTTGGTTAAGGGGAGGCTTGTGCATCAGCTCTACTTACTCAGTACACCTGAGTTCTGCCTGCTTTTGGCTATCTGTACTTCACTGGTGCTCCACGTGAAAGGTTTCTGAAACTCTGTGTGCATTTTAAGTAGAGATCATAAAATATGTGGTCGCTTACTGGTTTTCCTGTTTGTTTCTAAGTATTGCTGGCTGCTTCTCTTCCTACTTATTAGAATCAAGAGGATCTCTCTTGAGATGATAACAAGTGTTGCGTACTATGTTCTTGTTTAAACCCCTGTTGAGATCTTGCTGTTAGGAACAGAATGCACTTAACCCTCATGATGTCAGCTGATGAGGTGTGAGATCAGGGAACCCAGGCAGTGAGGTGCAGGAGTCAGTTGAGACACTGCGTGGACGTTGTAACTCCTGTAAACTCTTTGGGTCAAGAATTTCCATCAGTGTATAATTCAGAGTGGCTTTTTAGCTGATTTAGCTAAACTGGTACAAAAGGCTTAGTGAATGTTCTTCCTGTGCCACAAGAGCTTATTTTAGGTAAGGTAAATAAGTAGAACTGACGTGGCCCTGCATAAAGGGGCAGTCTTGAGTTTCATTTATTTTATAATGGTTATTGGACAAAAAATATCTTCAGTCATATCCAGGTACGTCTCCTGCAAAGGAGCTGAGTGTAGCCTATGATTTACCTGTGTATTCCATGCCTTATGCTAACAGAAAGCATACTTTGTTTTAAATGCTTAGCACATAAATAACTGATGAATGCTTACAGCTTGCTTTGTATGGCAGAAACAAATACAGAAATGTGTCAGGAGGTGATGGAGGCTTTACGTCAGCCTTGCGAGATGTGAAATTAATGAATTCTTTCCTAATAAATGCAAATGATGAACTGTTAATGATGTAATGACAATAATTTTAGTACTGAATTGGAGTTGCACAAAAGAAAAGCGCTTATGGATACAGACAGTAACTGTTCAGTTGGGGACGTAAAGTTTATTAGCATTCAGTGTGGGTACTGCATTTAGTATGCACCCTTTTTCCTTGAAGTAGGAACAAAGCTAATTTCCCTGAATTAGCTATTTGATACTGAGTGTTTAGCTGGATGGGTACTGTGCAGAACATGATATGCTGTAAGTTCGGGACTCGGCTTACCATGCTGCAGTTTGTGTTGTTCCCTTCCATGAAAGAAACTTGGAAGACGTGCAAGGTGTACTTTTAACACACAAGAGGGGGCAAAACAAAAAGTCAGTCATTTCCTAATCCCTTGTGATCTTCTGATATGAGGAGCTTCTAACTCTGATGAAGGTGTCTTGGTGGTTGGGACCCAGAGCTCTGAATAGCAAAAACAAGAAAACATCAGGTCTCTGCTGGTGTGGAAACACTGGAAGACCAATTAGTTGCATCACCACTAATGTAGAATAGTACTTACAGAGAGCTCAAAGAAACATCAAGGGTGTCTTAATGTCTTGTAATGACCCACCCACCTACCTATATAGCTGGGACTGCATTTGAGTTTTTGTCCTAATATCTGTCAAAATTCATTTTGCTTTTTACATACTTCTCTATTAAGGGGTGCTGATGCTCTGTTTGTTGGTATGTGGTGTGGTATCTTTATACCTAAAATATGTTACTGAGTAACAGAACAGAGTTCCTGCCTATTTCAGAAGGCATCCCCTTAATTGGGGGTTCTGTGTGAGCTGAAATTGCCAGGGAAGGAATTACATCCGTCTTGAAAGAAAAGGTGATGTTATTCTTGAGACAGCAGGCTAGAAGTAGGTTAAATGCAGTATGAGTGGCACTTAATTTTCAGCTCTAGATCTATGCAAATGTGACTCCAGTGAACAATTGGAACAGACACTGGGTGCTGTTGGAGGTATGGTTTTGTGTGTTTGGTTAGTTCGAGCCTCTCTTATTTGTACCATAGAAATTCCAGCAATTGCAAGTTGAGAGCATGTTTGGAAATTGAACCACTGTTTTAACTACACAGCTGAGTGAAGATGTGGAACGAGTATCTGAAAACCCGACAGATGAGAGAGAAGGAGAGATGGAAGTTGATGAAGATACCAGCTCTGCTATTTTACCAGGTGAGAACTGTTGACCTCAAGATTATGAGTTTTTAAGTACCTATTAAGCTGTTTCTGTGCAAGATTTTGGGTTTTTTTTTGTTTTTGTTTTCAGTAAATGCGCCGATGCGGGCTAGATTTGAACATTAAGGTATGCCAACCTGCAATGAATATCCCCTAAATGTTTTGCAGCTGCTCAAGACAGACTTTTTGTTAGTAGTGCAATTTTATGCATGTTAATGACCTAATTTCCTTGGCTGACATCTCCTGGCAATGAAGTTTGGAACACTTGTGTGGCCACGGACTTTTATATGTGGTTATGTGTTCAGTAGGAGCTACAAAAAGACTAGTGTTTGCTGCGGTAAGGAGCAAACAGCAAACCCTGCCATTATAGCTGAAGGGCAGAGTGTGGCATGGCCTGAAAGGGCCTGACTCATTAAATTACACCACACGGAAAAGTCAGTTTAAAATATGCCTATTTATCTTCTTCCATGCTTTTAGTTTTGATGTTTATTTTACAGGTTCAGCTTTATATTGCTCACAATCAAAATATGAACGTGTAACTTCAGTACATCATTTTTTTTACTTACAAGTACTGTCAAAAGAAGTTGAGAATGCAAAAGGGTATGGAGTAAGCAGTGTTTGTGTAGCTCTGGATGTGTAAGTGAGACTAGTGTGAAGATCTTCAGAGAATAGGCTTTGAAGGCAAGAAGGAAGGAATCGGGTCTGGTTTTTTCCTAGGTGTAATTGGAAAGAGCCTTCTTTTGTGAAACTTTACGGAATATGTGCCAGGAGTTACAAATTACAAACCAGAAAATAGAGGGTCACAAATTCACAGTGGCCTTTGCCATGGTGGAGGTGCCATGCAGTTAGCTATGTAAGAGCATTATTAGAATATTAAATCTCCCTGCGGACGCATATACTGAAGGTGGTCAGAATCAGATCAGACTGGAAGCGAGGAGAAATGGGTTGTTTGTTCCAGGAGGAAGGACGGAGCACTGAGAGACCTTTTCGTGTGAA